TTCATCTGTTCTGAGGTCCCTGTCATTCCACCTGCTGGCTCAAAGACTGGCTCTCCCTTTCCCTACCTCCTGTTCCAGAAGTGTAGCTCTTCAGTGGGCTTTTGGCCTACAAAGCAATTGTTCATTACTATATACAACAATACTGGGGGAAGGATTGTCCAAGTGTGGTGCTCACCATCCTCTCCTACTCCAAATGCACATTTCTCCTCTTAAAACACTACATGTGCTCAATAAGTCATTATAGTATATAAGCTCAATTTTGACCAGTTATTCTGTACAATTTTTTCATCCATCATATAATCTAATGAATTGCAGCTGATCTGTCCACAGCAATGATTGCTGAAATGCTCACCATAAAGGTACTGAATTTCATTCTCATTTCCCTTTTGAAATCAGTTTTTATTTGGGACAGCAGTATTATTTATTTATATTACATTTTTTTATTTCAAAATATTTATGTTATGATTTTTTCCTTATCTATGTTACACCTAATCATTTGCATCAGTACCATTTGTGGAGGAAAACATTATCTAAAATGAAGCAGAAGCAATTTTAGCTGACATGCAGAAGCCACAGTGTACTTACCAATGTCATGAATTGGCTGCTTTACTCCTATTTCATTATTTACAGTCATTACAGAAACCAAACTTGTATCGGGCTGGAATGCAGCCTCCAGCTCCTGGTCAAAGATTCAGAAGGACAAAAGTTGTGACTAACAGAGAAGCAGGATTCCTATGCACATCTTCAATTTACCAGCAACTCAACCACTAGTTCCTCATTTGTAATAAACACCTGGGTTTCTGACAAACAGCCCTGGAGAGAACACTAATTCATGTGAACATTAAATGCCTGTGGGAAGAGGAGCAAATCAATTGTGTTTCTGCATGTCCTAACCCTTCAACGAACCTGGCACCCCACTTGATTGCATCAAATCTCAACAGGCTTTGCTATATCCCATAAATATCTCTGAACTATTTTCTTTAATGAATTAACCACTCACAGAACAGCTTAAGCCTCCTCTAGCCAAGGTGAGGTTGACTTTAAAGGAACTGCTTTTTGTACAAAAGTCACATCACACCTGCAGCAACATGCTCAGAAAACACAACTCATTGCTGTGCCCACAGGCTGATCCCTCAGTCCCATCACACACACCACCACTCTCCATGGCAGGTGAGCAACTGGGAATAAAACTGTTGCTGCCCTGTGCTACAGGACATCAATGATTAACTAAAACCATACAACTTCTAAATTTTAGGGCTGCAGCCAGTACATACAGAAGGGATGGCTCATGGACAGCCATAGGAAGTACTGTAATCACTGAAACAACAGCTCAAGTACTGGGCTCCTTATAATGTACTCATCAGCTCCACCTGCACAGCAGCAGCTGAACAGTGGGAGAGGAGGTGGACGTTCTGGTTGAGAAAAAGTGTAGGACTTTAGACAGAACACAAAATCCTTCTCCAGATATGACAGATTTGACTATGATTCTCATTCTACTTTGTGATATTTAGTATCCTTTCTTCTTTTTCATCCAGAGGACACAAGGTTTTGAGCATCAATTTGAAGCAAAAACCTCTTCTTTTTTGTTTCTGTCAGTAACAACCTACCTTCAGATCTATGAGCCCACTTTTTTTAACAGGTAGATACGTGATGTGAAAACCTTCTGTTTCCAGGGAACGACAAGAATCCAACACACACTTGTGCTCTGTTTGCGTAGTAATGATATGCTTTTTTCTGGATTTATAGAACCTTGCAACACCCTGTCAGGCACAGTCCATGAAAAAGAAATTAGCCACTGAAGAAAGCAGGCATTACACAGTATAACTGGAAATAAGAAATTACTACTTAGATATAGTTCATTTATATTTTCCCTGTTTGACCCAAGTTATGAATCTAGAAGGTACTGACACATAATCCACACCTGCTTTTCAAAGCATCTTACTTCTCAAAAACTCTGTAAAAATGTTTATTGCTGTTAAGTGTAGAAGTCATTAACCAAAGCATTTTTTTGAAAATTTTTGCAGTGGAGTCATAAACACTGAAAGGCTGAACAACTACGTACTATGTACACAACGTAGTCTTCATCAGAAAAAAGTTTCTAATCCACGTGTCCACTATACTTCACAATAAAGATTTTAATTACATAAGCAGAAGGAATGTATTTAGTGCATTCGAGATAAACATCAAATATTTTACACTGCCTTCAAAATCATGTCCCGGGCACCAAATCACTCATCCATGTATTTCGTCCACATATGTAACAGACTATCACAAAAAGTAAATCCAGAAATGAAAATATGTTTTACTCCAACATATTAACATTTAAATTGTTGAGAGATGCATACAGTTCTTAAATACATAATTATAATAAATAAGAATCAGTATAACCTTTTTACCTTAATTGCCATATTATTGGATTCTGTTGCACCACTGGTAAATATAATTTCCCGTGAATCAGCTCCGATTAAATCTGCAACTTGCTGTTTAAAAAGAAATACAAATTTGACTTGTTAAGAAAACATACAATAAATTCACTACAGCAAAATACATGTGAAATGTTTTCAAGAATACTCCCTTGAACTTCAAAGGATTACAGCTGGTACCTAATAAAGTTATGCTAAGAATAGTCTAAATATCTGAATTATAAAACACACAAGGAATCCACAGTCATTAGAAGTGTATTAAGCGTTAACCTGTTATAACACAGATAAAAGCTTAAGTGGACAAAAACCCCTTATATGTTACTTCAAAAAAAAAACCAAACATCCTTGCCTAAGATTAGAAGAATGATAAGATATGTAGTCCAATGACTGCAGCAACATGCTAGTGACTTCAGGAAACCAATAATACTGCGGCACTTAAAGTGTTGGTTTCTGCCATTTCAGTTATTCTAATCTCACTGTTGGAGCAAGTGCCAGCTTCTGCACCTGGAACTGGAGAGCCCTGGGAGTCCAGACAGACTGAGGAACAAGAGGCTGGAGACCAGCACCACAGAAAGAGACCTGGAAGTTTGGACTGAGGGCGAGTGGAACAGGAGCCAGCAGGGCCTCAGCAGCCCCAAGGGCCAGCCCTGTCCTGGGGGACATCAGGCCCAGCACTGCCGGCTGAGCAAGAGGGCGACCGTCCTGCTCTGCTCTGCACTGGGGAGGCCTCACCTCGAGTCCTGGGGGCAGTCTGGGGCAAACCTATATCAGGATATTAAGTTATTAGAGAACATCCAGAGGGCCATGAAATGGTTAAGGGCCTAGAGGAGAGTCTGTAAAACAAACAGCTGAGATCACTTGATTCTTTCTGTCTGAAGAAGAGGAAACTGAGGTCAGACCTCACTGGGGACTGCAGCTTCCTCATGAGGGGCATCAGAGAGGCAGCTCTCTGCTCTCTGTGACCAACGACAGAGCTTGAGGGAACAGATAGAGCTGTGTCAAGGAAGTGTAGGCTGGATATTAGGAAAAAAAGTTTATTACCCAGAAGGTGGTCAGGCACTGGAACAGGCTCCCCAAGGAAGTGGTTACAGCCTTAAGCCTGCCATAGTTCAAGGACTGTTTGGACAATGCTCTCAGGTACATGGTGCGATTGTTGGGGCATCCCATGCAGGCCAGGGTTGGAATTGATGATCCTTGTGGGTCCCTTCCAATTTGAAGTATTCTATGAGTCTATCTTTTCCTGCAATAAATCTACTGAAGTATAGCTAAGCAAAGAGGAAGCTGCTAAATCCAGCCCACAGAAAACAGGGGTTTTTTTCTTCCTTTTTCTGTTAGGTTCTTTTGACCCTGATTTTCCTCAGCAGCAAGAAAACCAACACAACTGTGAAGAGACAAAGACTCACCTGCCTCGCTTTCTCCATGGCAGCCTCGCTCTCCCAGCCGTAGGCATGGGTCCTGGAGTGGGGGTTGCCATAGTAGGCTGTCAGGTATGGAAGCATGCTGTCCAGGACTCTGGGATCCTATGGAACACAAACCAGCCAGCCTTAGAAAAGGAGAAGTGAAACTATATCTGCTCTCTCTGGGCATGCCCCCTTGCCAACAGTATCAGCAGCACTTGTGTTATAGTGTCTTGCTTTAGCTTAGGCCTGACCTTGAAAACTTGAGGCTATTACATGTTACGTGTAACACAAGTATTCAGCAGTTATGTTCTGTGCATGTAACCCTGATCTGCACCAAAGGTTAAAGAACAACATAATTTGAGAAAAAAGAATCACAGACCTGTTTGGGTTGGAAAATACTTTAAAGCTTATCTTGTTCCACGTCCCTGCCATGGACAGGGACACACCTTCCACTAAGTCAGGTCGCTCCAAGCCCCATCCAACCTGGCCTTTCTTCTGAGCGGAAAAAATACAAGGTCTTCAAATGTTAACAAAAATGTCAGATCAGTATTTTGGATGAATTCACTTCCTGCTTCTCTCAACTGTCTCCACTCCCGCAGGGGTCGGTGCGAGCCCCTTAGTGGCTCCGCCACGCTGCCGCCCTGCAGACTGCCCATCCAGGGAGCTGCCCCAGTGTAGCTACAGCCCTTCCGGAGGATGCCTGGCCTGCCCTGTGGTGACAGGAACAGCCTGTGTCGCTACAGGCAGCGCCGAACGCCGCCTCTGACCCCCACGGCGGCTCGGGACGCACGCGACCGCTCGGGCAAGAGAACCAGGAGTGTGGGGACCCCCCTCCGCTTCCCATGCTCGGTACGGCCCTTACCAGCGGGGTAGTGGCCTGGACATCCATGTAAAGCGGCCGAGGAGCACCGCCGCCATCGCTTTTTCGCCCTGAGGGGAGAAGAGGGGGAAAGCTGATGTCAGGGGCCGGCAGGAGCGGGGGAGCTGTCCCTTCCCGGACAGGAGCTCTGCCAGACTGCGGCCTTACCCGGACCCGGACCCGGTCCCGGTCCCGGTCCCGGTCCCGGTCCCCCCGCTCGGAGCCGCCGCGGGGCTCTTTCGCCCCTCAGGGCCGCCAAGCGCCGCCACAGCAGCATAGCGCCCGACGGACAGAGCGCGGCCGTGCCCGCCTCCTCCGGTACGTCACGGCGACCGCCGGAAGCGGGGCCTCAGACAGACGGAGGCGAGGTGCGGCCTAGTGAGGTACGGGTGGAGCAGGGACCCGGGAACGGGGCGGGGCGGGGCGCTGGTGAGATAAAGCGAGTGCTGAGGACCCAGTTCGCCCACGAGAACTCTTCCGCCTCGCAACGGCGATAGCCGCCGTTCCCGCGGAGTCCACGGCCTGAGCCTGTGCACTAAATTCTCAGCCTCGCCCCGGTCTCCGTTAGGGTGAGTTCACTGCCCGCTCCTCTGCCTCCGGGACCAGTGGCCAGCGGGATCGTCGGACCAGCAGCGGAGGCTCCATCTCAGGTGCCGCGTGCACTGCTCCCTAGGGACTGAGAGCACACAGGGTGAGGTCCGAAACAGCCTCGGCAGCCACGGCGGCGCTCGCAGGAGCTTGTTGAGGGAAAACAAGGCCGTCGTTCCCTCCTTGTCCTTCCTACTTAACAGGCAAGGAAACAAGCCTGGGAGCCAGCACAACCTCCAGAGCTGCATGCGCGAGAAGCTCTGAGCTGCACAGCCTGGCCTGCCAGCCCATTTTGGTTATGGAAGTCTGTTAGATAAAGCAGTAAATCGATGTGGGTATTGTCCTTTCTTTTTTAGATGCCTGTGACCGTGGGCCCATATGGGCAGTCGCAGCCCAGCTGCTTTGACAGAATAAAGATGGGTTTCATGATGGGCTTTGCAGTGGGCATGGCTGCAGGAGCGCTGTTCGGCACATTTTCCTGCCTCAGGTACGCCAAGGAAATGTCTTCCACAGACAAGTGGTGACAGGGTGATAGCCAGAGAGAAGGGTCATGTTATGGGGTTGGGAAGGGATTGGATCTAGTCCTGCGCCAGCCCCAAGAGTGGAACTTCATGACTCAACTACTGCAGTAAGCCCCTGGCCTACAATATGCGAGTCTGGTGCTGGCAGGGCATCACCTCTGGGTGCCCTGCATGAAGGGAGGTCACAGTTTCACACACCTTTTCTTGCCTCATGTAAGGGAGGTTAATTGGGAAGCTGAGGCTGTGGAGGATCACCTCCAGGAGGAACCAGATGAATTGTCTTTGCAGATACATGTTCAGCCCTCTCCTGGCCCTAAAGCTTTCTGGGGTGCTCTGTAGGCTCTCAGTGTCTGTATCGTGGTCCCTTTGTGTGTCCCATGCCCTGTACAGAAGCAGTTACCAAACTGACCCCGAGTGTGAATGGCAGGAGTATGGGTAGACTCATGGCTGGCATTGGCACAGTCCCACTGTGCACTGGAGAAGGACAATATTCCATCTTCCCCTAGGACTCAGCATGCTTACATGAAAAGAAGCTGTGTTTGTAGCTCCGTGTTTGCTCTGGTACTGCTGACTGGCTTTGCACATCATCTATGACAAAGAATCACTGAAGTCAGCTCTTTCATACTTCACAGAACTCTTGCTGTTTGATGTTTTTTACTGTGATTAAACATAGGAGATGATTTGATAGTGCGGTGAAGGAGGAAAAGGCACAAATCTTAATCCAATGGGAGTTTGAAGTTTTCTAATCTCTCTCAGTTCCCAGAGGGTAAGCAGCATGATGCTGGCAGAAAATACATATTAAGGGCATTTAGAAGAACTAGTGACAGTGGTTCTGCCATACTTGAATGACACAGCTACAGTACTTCTGCTGCTCCATTTTTGAAGGAAAATCTCAAGTTTTAAGAACGAAGTGCATGAAATTCCTTAGACCCTAAAGTCACTGCAGTGTTTAAAAGTCAAATATTACAAAAGCTTCTTGAGACAGAATTCTTTTTGTTTTAGTCTGACCTTCAGTAAGGGAAAAATGGAGAACAGAAACATCTTTTGAAGTTTCTAGGCCTTTCTGGTGTCTCATACTAAAAACAGAGTAAGTAATAAATAGAAAGTTCATTTTAAATTTGTGATATTAAAAATACTGCCACTGCAGCTAGAGAGGATGGCAGTACAACAGCTCAGACAACTCTTTCTGTACTCTGGCAAGCAAAATACTTGGACAGCATTTTTTTTACTGTATTAAGGGTATTTGGGAGACCAGATGCACAGCTGTTCCTGCTAAAGTATAGCAGGAAAGTTTTATTTCAGGAAAAAATACATACGGGCCACGTGAGTTGAGGGCCACCCAAGAGCCCCTGCAGTAGCCCAGGGCACTGTAGCCAGTCTTTGGGGAGGCAGCTGTACAATTGAAGAGATTTAGACTGAAGAAGTGTTCAATTTGCAACCATTAGCTGATTGTCTCAGATGTTTTCTGCTGTATGTCTGTGAACCTGTCATATTTCATCTTTTATATAATCCCTGTGATTTTCTTTATCACAGGATTGGCATGAGAGGACGAGAGCTGATGGGTGGAGTTGGCAAAACGATGATGCAAAGCGGTGGGACATTTGGGACATTCATGGCCATTGGTATGGGAATACGCTGCTAATCTGGAGCTTGGGATTTATCTCAGAGTCCCCCCATCCAGCCATTCCTCTACTGTACAATAATAAAATCTTTAGATACTTGGAAGTGAGAGCTCTTAATGAAACAGCAGTCCTACCCTCTGTGCTCTGCAGATTGTAAGCATGCTTTTTACAAAATTTCTACTTTCTTCCCATCATTTTCTCCCAAAACAATGAGAATTAGTAATAATTTTTATTATATTTAAGTTCCTGTTTTACGGATATAAGTACACCACACAAGTTTCTCCCATTGGTATATGGTCAGCTCACATTGCTGATGTGGATGTGGAGCTGCTGCTCCTTCATGTGTTCCTCAGTCTAGGAAAGTTAGATGATGTGTACCTTCAGATGAATTACCAAATTTCTGTCCTCTTGAAAATATAGGTGGGTTGAAGCTGGTCCATTTCTGAGTTCCAAGTGTCATGGGGCAGATGCTCTCAACAGAGGAAGGGACCCCAGGATTCAGGCAGCTCCCGTAAGAGCTGTGCTCCCAGAAACAAAGCCTTTTCTTTAATTCAAGGTGGCCAAGACTAACCTAGGAAATCCCTCCATTACTTGCCTTTTGAAATAAGGCCTCTTTCTGCTCCTCCTTTAGTTCCATGTAAGGAAGACTTGAGCAACAGCACTACCTCAACTGGCACCTGTACAACCTGGACCTGGTACAAGTGCCTTTCCCTCAGTTTTTAAGGCAGAAAAACAAATTCACCACATAAAGCCTGTTCTCATATGAAGCATACCTAGAGAGCCAGCTCTGCTTCTTCAGTTGTGTTACTATTCCCAGGATCCTGCTATATTCCCAGGCCCTCTCCACCTTTGCCTTTTGCTTGCTCCCAGTTCTTTGATTAAGGACAGGCCCTTGCCCCACTGCAGCTCAAGGACAACTACAGCCCTGAAGGCTGCAGAGCAGGTCCTCCCCCCACAATACTACAGGAATTGCTGCCTGCCCCACCTCTACCCACTCCCGAGGAATGTTCTGTTCTCCCTACTTTCTCTCCCTTGGTCTTTTCTTAGTGGTTAAGGAGGTCAGGAAGATGGAACAGGGGTAGAAAAGGCAAAGCACAGGGGCAAGTTCCCTCTAGAAACCAGATTTAAAGCAAACAAAACTGACTCCTCCAGCCCTGGGACTCTCAACTGTTTCTGAAGGATGGGAGTGGAGGTGGGCAGGAGGGGTTTGTCTCTGGAATGAACTCTAAGTGTGCCTGAGGAAGGTAAGATTTGTGCCAGATCCTCAGCAACCATGGCCACACTGCACAAAGGGCCGGGAACAGCTTCTGCATGTACTCTCTGAGCACATGATATCCCATGGCGTACCAGCATACTGGGCACTGCACAGCATCTGTGACTCACCTCCAGGCCTAAGCACACGCTGCCTAAAGTCGGAGTGGAAGAGCAGAGAAATAGAGCTTCATGAAGGCCTTTTTAAGAGAATTTTATTTGAGTGGTTCTTACAAAGATTGTTGCAATATGAAAGTCTTTGATAGAAATATCAAGCTGTCTTGTCAAACACACTGAAGTAACCCAAAAATATATTTCAGAGCTCACAGAGCTTAAAAAGAGCAAAGATTATATGCAACCAGAACAAAACACATTTCTGTATTTCCTACCCATTTTCAGACTTGGCTGAAATCCTCCAGCTCTGCCCCACTGCACACGTGGAAACTTATCTGGAAATGCAGAGATGTTTTGTTTGGAAACTTAGACACACCTCACAGTATTTACAAAGAAACTTATACAGATACAATAATCAAAAGTTACTATCAAGAAATAAAACCCTCCAATCCTCCTATTACCAATTATTCAGCACAAAGCAAGCTGAGTAGCTGTCTGCAGTCAGCATTTGGTAACTTTTTTGATTTTCCATTTATACAAAACCACTAAATATGTCCCTTCATCCAGTCTCTCTCAGATACTACCCTTGAGCAGATCACCCACATTTAGTGAAATGTAAAATGCCTTTGCTGCATTAAAAGAAAGACTCATGAAACATTAAAAATGTCATTGTGTCCCATCTGCCTTTTACAGAGTACTTGTTATCTGTGAGCTATTTCTCAGTTCCTACGGATCACCTTTGTCAATGTACAAGAATTACAAGGCAGAACAAGAAGTCAACAGCTTTGTATACAGTGGAAATGCTAGTAAGGGAGAATGAACACACTGCATTTCTGCTTACTTCATTTTATTTTTAAAGATAGCAGGAAGTGTACACAAAATGACATTAAATCCTTTCCTTTAGTTTTATCTAAATAAAAGATAACTCAATCTTCCTCCAAAAAATACCTATGTACAAAACTGACTAAATTAATCTTCATCGTCGAACAGGAACCAGTAGTTGGGTTGCAGTCATAGAGTCTGGGAAAAGGCTGTGGTATGTTGGAAGAGGTACATACGCTGCTGTAATCATTTTACCTAATCACAAGAGGGAAAAAAGTAAACATCAGTGTCTGCTCATTTCTGTAAAGGATGACTAAATGTAGGTGTGTACATGGAACACTCACCTGCAAACCACCTCCCATGCAAAGCATTGACAGCTGCAATGGCAGCAGCGATGGAGGGACATTTGACATACACATTGCCCTGCAAGACAGAATAATGTGGCCCATGAGGAGTCAGAGACGCTTCCCCAGTGATGTTCCTCAGCCACTCCTGGACCTGGCTGTAACAGAACCACACCTGCTCCACCAGGCACCCACTGGCATTAATCCATAACACAGAATGAGCACAAAAGAGGACAGTGGTACTGACAGGCTCTACTCCACTGTGGCAGTTACTGCAACCTTCAGTTTTTCTAAATAGGATTTTTCAAGATAGCCCAAACACACATTTCACCAGTAATCACTGAGCCATGGATGGCTGATCTGCTCCTGAGAGCCTTTTAGAAAGAGGATCTAAAAACTCCTAATCATTAGCACCATGTGAAAGAGAAGAGCACAAAGGGGTCTGGTTTGCTCCCAAGGCAGTCCAGCTGCCACAGTCCATAAGCCACTAACCTCAATCACATATGCTTCACTCAACATGCAAAGCTCACAGCCTGTATTCCACAAGAACCAAGCACTCCCCGTTCCCCCACATAGGAAGGAAGCACCACTTCAAGGGAGACATATACCATAAAAATTCTCCTATATAAACGTAAGTATGTGTGTCTTTACTTGAACAAGAACTGAGGTAAAGGGAAAATCCCATCCCCGCAGGGCAGGAAGAGCCTGAGATGCTTCCCAAGGTGCATGACAGACTGAACTTCACCAGAGACACCTGGAGTTTGCCATCTGCAGATCAAGCACTGAGCCTCCCTAATCAAGAGAACTACAACAGCCACATCCAACAACTCCAAGACACAGAGATGCCCACAGTAATGTGTCGCATTTTTCTGGCTGCCTTCTTAAAAATTGACCATCAGTAATACCTAAGAGGATTAATTCTAGATGAAACAGATTTTCAGGAAAATAGTAATTTAAAAATAGACTCCAGCCTTTCTTTAGCAGCTTTAGTCAGCCTGTATTAACTCTTCCCACTGTAAGCTAACTCATTCCTTTCTTATGTGACGAACCTGAGCTTAGGAGCTGGTGTTTAAGGCACTAAGCAATCAATTAACACAGAGCTCTGCTCTCAGCCTCCCCCCTGCAAAGGCACCTAAACAGCTTAAATGGCCAAATAAGGTGCAGGAACACAAAGCTATGGTTTTCCTTAATGCCCAGCAGCACAGATAGATGTGATACATGAGCCATGCACTCAGCTGGGACTGCAACTGTTTAATCCACAACAAATCACAACCTCATAAGCCAACCCCTGACAGTCCTCAGCATGGAAGTCTGGGACAGAGCCCTGAAGGGGTCCAGAAGCTAAGCCTGGAAAACAGAATGGTACAATGGAAACTCTATCAGGGGATATTTTATATCTGTGTCACTGCTGTGCTATCATGACAAAACAGATTTCATTTTTTATGAAACATTATTACTTAGTATGTTACAGTTTTTTCTTTTAAATCCACCTGCTTATGTGAAACAGAATTTTGCAGCTCCATGGGCTTAGAACTATGTGAGGTATCTTGACGGCTGGTGTAGTTTTGGGTGTGGTGGTTTTGGGGGGGGTTGTGCAGTGATTTTTTTTTTGTGTGTTTAATTGTTGGGAGGGTTTTTTGGAGGTGGGAAGTGTTCTGGGTTGTTGGTTGCTTTGGATTTTTTTATGTCAAAGAACACTTCATTTTCTCTAAATAACAAACACATTATGGGGAAGATTTCTGCCTCTCATCAGTCCAACAGTCCAAGATCACAGGTGTGATCTTGGAGATTACAAGATGCCAGGTAATGCAGCACATTGTTTTATGTGCTAGACTGCAGCTCCTGTCTAACCTCTCTGTAACCCACAAGAAAGGGTTTCATGTGATATTGGGGCAGCTGCAAAGAAAGCAATGGTTGAGTGCCAAGTGGATCACCAGGTAGAACAGTCCCACCTAAGCACACCAACAGGAAAATAGGTTTCAGCCTTGTACCTTGCCATGGAACACAAAATGACACTTCTAGGATGTGATGGATAGAAATTAACCCAATTGTGAAGCCATCTGAAAACTGACACTGAACTTTTGTTTGGGCTGTGAATTCTTTAAAAAAAAGGTTTCAAGAGAGTTAATCTATTTACAGACCTTCCAGAGTTTATACAGTCCAAGAAATGAAATACAAGGAAGAAGTAACCAGTCTAGTGTTTATGCAAACAAGGTGAAGTCAGAAGAAGAATATATTCACCAGTTTAAGACACAGGCATTAATATGGAATTCAGTCAGCAGCAGCAGTCTTTCTCTTCCCTCTTTTAACTCCATGCCCTCAGACTGCCCCTTGCAAGGCTTTAATGTCATGAGTGACCACAACTATTTCTAAGCATGGGATGAGGCACACATTTACCTGTACATTGTAATTCTGTTGGAGCAAGGGCCCTTTCTGCTGAAGCCTGTGCTCTAGAAAGAAGAAACTGAAGTCCCTAACTTGGGAGAAAGGCACAATTTAAGGGAAATGCCAAATGCCTGAACTGGTTACTAGTCTTCTACAGCAACTTCAGCTGGGTAAACCTGCAAGAGCAGCACCAGAAAGCTGCTCATCCAAGTTATACACAAGGGAACCACCTACATTCTGCACAAAGTAAGAAATTTAGGTACAGTTTAGGAAAAGCCTCATATTTGTAATGCTCCCCCTAGAAAAAAGAGAGCAACAGAACATCTGCATACCTGAGCTGAGTTTTTGTCAACGTAGATGTGGATAACTCCTCCATGTTTGTTACATTCCTCAATCACATCATCTTTAATTTCTGTGTCCCAGCCAGCTTCTTCTTCACTGTACAAGGGAAGGAAAGACAGGACAGAGATATCATTCAGAAAAAATCCACCCCCAAAACCCATTAAACGCACTCCTGCAACATTCAGACTTCTTTCTTACATGTTAAGGTAATTGACAAATGCCAAACAGACAATGATAAATCACTTACGTTTGAGGATTAAACATGTTGGAAAGCTGGAAGCACTGTGTTGCAAGTGGTTGTACAGAAGCTGCTGCAGCCAGAACTATTGTAATGGAAAACAAAAAAAAAAAAAAAAAAGACAAGCATATCTAAGAACCCCCAAAGAAAAGCGAGAATAAAAAAAAAAAAAAAAAAAAACAAAAAGACTAGCATATCTAAGAACCTCCTATGTACAGCTTTAATTTATTCACAATCATAGAAACGGCTCTGACTAAACAGAAACTGAAGGCGAGAAAGCAAAACTCAGAACCAGACACTATTGATGACAGATATGTTTAAACTGATCAATACAAAAACCACCACGCTATAAAGCACGGTTGAACCTGAAAAGTGAAAATATAATCGTACACATTGATTTTGGCAGATTTTCCATTTGAACATTAAAAAGCATGCATTTTCATTTGCATCTAAAATGTCTGCCTCAGTTGTATGTCAGCAGCACCTTTAATGCTTTGCCCCTCATGGAAGCCCAGCAGCAGCTCAGGACAGCACCACCCCAGCTGACTGCACAGCAAAGGACAGACAACCTTGAGGAATTCTTAAAACCTGTTTTAAGCATGTTGAATTATGCTTCAGAAGTGTACCTGCACTTTCATTCCTTGAAAACACAGACTGAAGGAAACATTTGACACCTGAAATTGCTCTTTCCCTATAATTGTGAAATTATTGTAATTTATTGCTGCTCATCATGCTAGTACATTGTATTAAACACTGTCCAACAGGCTGCACTGCCACAGGCTTCAGGCTTCTGACAATGGAGCTGCAATAACATCCCCCTTCCCCATATACTTCAAACATTAAGGGGTTGTGCAGTCAGATAAGGAGCAACTCAAAGACAGTAAACCCAAACTTCTGATTCTCAAATAACCCTTCTAACGCAGGGAGAACACTCCTACCCAACCACAAATACCAGCCCACACATTTTCTTGGACTAGTGCATGGCTAGGGAATGCTACCAGCACTGGAGAAAACGCTACCAAGAATTTTCAGTCAAAAAACCAATCACAGCATGATTCCCCACAGACAACTAACAGAACACAATTTCTCAGGTATAGGCAGAAGCATTTCCCCTACAGACACCTGAAATAAAATCTATGATTTACAAGTCATAGCAAATGCTAGTTTACCTTCATTCTGCTGGGACAGTCTTGTTTGCAAGTCTAAAGAAAAATACAGAGAAGTTAATTAGTATGCTTGCTAGCATCACTGTATCATCACCTGCCAGCCAGGTTGTTCAGCTTGTATTTCTGTGGTTAAGAGCTTATTCCAGTATCACTGTTCCACTCTAGTTGTGAGTAGTTTCGCTAATTTCAGCTTCTCTACTAGAGTATTCTGTATATGACAGATTCTGTGACAACAAAGTATTTTAAAGAGAAACAATACCTTAAAAGAGCAGACATGACCATGTCCTTTAATTCAGTGCATCACTCTCAACTTGCTTTTGCTATGATTGAGGTCTTTACAAGACACGTTCTACTCCATGAGAAAATAATTACAGCAATTCTGACACACATTAAGGTGCCTGTCAACACCAACATCTTTACTACCAGAAAGCAGTTAAGCAGACAGCTATACAAACCTGACATGCTTAAAGCAGATATCAAATTTCATTTCAAGTAGAATAAGGCAATACTTAATCTGCTATGCTTTCATATAGATGGCATGATACAAGTAACTTTGTTATTTTTCAAATTCAAAATAATTTCCAGTGTTCAGAACATGTAATTTGCCTAGAAAACATTTTTTACTTGTTTAACAACATCTCTTTACTTGTTTACAACATCTATTTACAAGTTTAACAACATACACTTGTCCCAATTCAAAGTGATGGAAACAAAAAAATGCACTTTCTAGCCATTTCCAACTATATGACTTCAATACTTGACATCTTTGAACAGAAAACTTCAGAATTCAAGAACTGTAAGCATAAGTCCCTTCAATCATGGTTCCATTTAGCATATACTAGGTGTGAGAAGACTGAAGCAAACAATCACCTTAATTCACTCATTTAGAGAGTATCAAGTAATGAGCACCAAGTAAGCTTCCAAGCTTACCTGGAAATACCTGAAGGCACCAGGTATCAACATACTTTTCCCCTTTCTAATAAAACTTCCTGCATGACAATGAAGAACCAACAGGAATAAATGTTTCTCTCTAGATTTTCCTCATGTGCCTTTCCAAGTGTTTTGCACAGAACATGTACCAGGAACCACACCGAAAAGCAAGGGCTGGAAGGAGTAAGCTCTGAAGGCTGAGTTGTAAAAAGAGCTGGCCATGTTTAGCATATTTTCCATCCAGATCTGAACCCACAAAGTCCTCAACTCCATAGAATGAGAAATATCACAATAGCAAACGCTGCCTTAGCCTGTAGTCTCTGCAGAAACTGCATGGTCTTGGCCAAATCTGTAACTAATTACCTAGTTAATTAATACTCAGACTCTTTTGAAAACAAACGCATTTTAAAGAAATCAGCAAATATCCAAAGTTTTAATTTAGATGAGGACAGACACTTTTCCTGCTGCAATTCCAATCCATCATGTCTGGCTGAACTTGTCTGCATGGGTCAACCTAGGGTTCTACAGGCAAATACTCCAGAATTCCTGCACCTAACGTGGTAAACCTGCACGTATCATCAATGCAAATTCTGTCCAGGAACAAGTAAGATCTGTTCTAAACACAGCAAAGTCACCTACCACTATCTTGTGCAACAGTTTCTCAGATTAATTATCTACAACGTTTGGAACGTAACCACTGCTCACCAGATCTTTTATCAACTGGATTATCTTGTTGCTCTTGACTGAAAAACAGTCCTGTCCTCTCAGTTCTAAAATCACTCAGAATTAAGAAATTAACTGTCACTCTTTACTGTCAATTCATGTTTCCCTAAACATAGTTTTAAACAGTATGCACCAACAAAATGAATACATCTGTCCAATTCAGATCAAAGTTACTTTTTCAGTATATACTTATATAACACCTGTAAGAGCAGCAAGTTTAGCATGATGGGAGTACATGTTTAGTATACAGATAAAGCAGAAATACAGACATATCAAAGCATTTTGTGTCTTAAAATAAAGTTTATTTTGAAATCCTGATAGCTTTAAATAGGCCAAAGCCTGCCAAGCATTGCCCAGTGTCTTGAGTCATTACTTCGAACAGAGACCAAACAGAGCTCCAGGATGATACCTATCCCTTCCCTCTTTTGCAGCACACCATGTCAATTTTTGCCATAAACAGACAGCTCCTTCCACAAGTAAGGAAGACTTTGTCCCACAAAACATTAGAAGAATATTCTATAGGCTGATTATTTTAAATTTCCTATGTTCAGAAAGAGAACAGGGAGTACACTGTTCAGCTTCTAATTCTTTTTCCCGCTGGATGGCCAAATTCTCAGGCATCCCCTAAAACTAATTCTTTACCCTCCCTTTAGTTTGATTGACTCCCTCTTAAACACAGATTATCACAAGTGTTTGCAAATGTATATATTACACCTCAGATGCTTTAGGCCTACTTGCCTCTAGGAACACAGCTAATATTTTAATGCTATATCATGCTTCTGGCACTGATAAACTGAAGCATTTAAGTATTTTTTCCCTCCCTAGCCATTCTTCCATTGCTAAGCTCCCAGACTATGTGAGTGGAATTTGATTTAACCCTGAAGAGGTGAACAATATACAACACCCCAATAATTTCGCGTTGACAGGACCTATACATTTATTTACCTCATAACTACTGCTGACCATTTTCATTCATGTAAATATTACACAAGACCAGCCCAACATCCAAATTTTGGCTTTAACAATAGCCTCCAACTTTCACTTGTAAAAAAATCCTTTCTTCTCTGAGGCAGCTTCTTCACACACCTTGTATTTCCTATACTACTCCTCCAGTTTAATAACTTCCAAATGACAAGTCTAAAGATCAGCAAGAAGCTGCTCCTCCTCTGCCAAGGAAAGGCAATTTAATCAATGACAGTTGATCTTTAAATACAGCTTCTAAAAGTATACTATACTTTCATAATTTTCTCCAGTTTGTTCTTCTTTAGTATGACTTCTGAAGGAGCAAAGCCTACTCAGTAATAGGACCAGAATCTGGCCATACCACATTCTTCTTCCTTCAAATGTCCTTCAAGGGTAATTTAGAGTCACATGTTTCAGCAATATACCATATCATGGACTTAAAATGTTTACAGGCAATACCAGAGATGAGACCTCATGTTTCATACATGTATTCAATCACTCTTTTCATGGGAGTTTTGCTCCTCTGAACTGTCTTCATTAGCCTCTTACTTTTAGCTTTCTTTCTACCCTGGGAGTAATTTTCTTTTTTATTTTTGAACTACATATTCCTAGCTTACCTTCCTCAAATTCTAAACTTTATGACTAGTACCCCCACTACAAATTGAGGCAACTAAATACAGATAAACATCTTGGGAGTCGTTTTTCATTCACTTGAGTCCCACTTCTTTTTTTTTTTTTTTCTTCAAGTGTTGATAAACCTTTATCTATTGCTTTAATTAATTTAAAAACGTCTAACTCAATCTGACTATTGGCAGACAATTATCTTTTTATCTGTTTCCCAAAATGAAAATATTGTTTTATTATCAGTCCTTTTTCCTATTCTTCATAGGCTGTGTGATCATCCCTTATTTCTTTTGAGGTAGCTGATCACCCAGGTTTAGCATGGAGCCCACACTAACAGAACTTCTTCTTCTTTCTGTAGAATACAGATCCAACACAGCATTAGCAATGTGAAACAGAAGAAACTTTTCACATCTTGCCTGTTCAAACACCCAAGTTGCTCAGACCAGATGACTTAACTGCCTTGTTTCTTCAACCATCAGTTAGACCTGCTTGTGTATCCTTCCATTTAAATGTGAGCAACTCATGATCCCTCAAGTCAATGGTCATTTCTATTCTCATCCATAACATCTTCATTACTTACCAAATTGAGTTTAAAATAGCATCCCCTCTTCATGAGTCAGTGAGTGTTTGATGAAGAAATTTGTCGGATATCACATCCAGGAATATCTGGGCCCCACCATTATTACTAGCAATTCTTCTCCAATCTGTATCGGGGAAGTTAAAGTCTCCCACAATGACATAATTCCTGGTAGTAATTTTCTCTAACAAGAGTAAAGAGATCTTTAATCCATAACCAAATCTCACTTTGGGGATAGCTCATGACTCTATGGCAGCAAAAAGCTTTATCTTTTTCCAAAGTCACTTAAGTTGTGTATGTCTGCACTAGTCCTTTTGTACAAGTTGAATGAACAATGATAACCCTACCATCTTTATTTCTACAGTTGCTAAACATGCATCTTCTTCTAACACCTGTATTTGGCCTCATCATTTATTTCTCCATAGCCATGTTTTCTCATACTGATTCCATACTACCTGCACCATGCAGCTGTGTCAGCCATTTTTGGCCATCTTGATTTAATGAGCTCGGATTTTTTTGACTCTGTTTCAAATGTGGAGGAGGAAAAGGACTACTGTTGTTTTAAAACACTATTCTCATTTCTAATTGGTGACATGTGTTTACACATGAGACTGCCACACCAGTTTATAACCTACATAAATGTTGATATAACTTCAGCGGTGGTTACCTTTCCTTCTCTTTCTGGACTAGACACACTTTTTCCTTGCTACTGTATGTTTTTCATCCTTCTCAAACAGGCAACTGACATTTTTCTGTCACTGGCCAGTTCCTTTCCCTTCCGAGGGCACATCTCTAGAACTCTATTTTATTCTTTTAGCAACTGTCTACAGCTTCATATGTATGCTCTTCTTAAGACTGCACCTGACCATCAGTAAACATGATTCAGACCTATCTTATTAAGTCTGAATCACTTCCATCACAAGCTCTACTGGAAGGAAAACAACAATGCCACCTTTTCTTTGCTACTTTCCTGACTCTTCCCACACATTCCAGCATCTGGTTATTTGTGACATTCAGGTCCTTTCTACTGTTATGACAGTTTCATATCCTTTGTTCATAGTATTAATCAAAAGTAGCAAAAAAAAAAAGCAGCCTTCGGGGAGGTTACTCCCTGCTCTAGTTCTGAAGACTCCATGAATAGTTTGTTTTTCAGACCAGCTATGAACTAAGCAGCAGAATCACATCCCTCAGCCTCATTCCAGCACACCCACCTGAAGAACACACATACAACTATAGCCAAATCCAAGCAACACACACATTCCCCGACATAAAAACGTCTTTCTTAATGAGGACATACGCTGTAAAAACGCTGCTGCCATCTTTATAATGTTTCCCCCCATAAAGTCCTAATAATGTTCCTGCCCCTCATAAAGCTCTGGTTTTTCTACAGCTGTCAATCCCCTTCCATTTCTGAGCCTGCCATTTTAAATAGTCAACATGTATACTACAGTACAACATACAAATACCCACTAGCACAGAGAATAATGAAGAGATGAAGGTTTGGGGTGAAAACCAGCAAATTTGCAAAAACATGCAAAGTGAATCACACCCAACCAAATTGTGATATACTGTCATTAGTTACTTGCTTATGGTTTTGCAGTGTTTTACAGTTTGTAAAAAATGCTGCAATACCTCATTTTAAAAGACAAAAAAACAGTTAAGTACCTCTTGTCTCAAGTTTATGAAGTAATTTTAAATATATAGGTCATCATTTCTTACCTGTCACAGCTCCAAAGGCCAAAGATCCACTCATCTGCAGAGCCTGTTGTGCAGCTGGAGGAATCTGCAAACCAGTACCTGGAACAGAACACAGAGAGAGCTTAGAGCAAGCCCTTTCATTCAGTTAGAGATGCAGTAACAGAAGTATCAGAAATCTTCCTGTTGTCAATCAAAAGATAAAAAAATACCATGCATTTAAATGTTTCATACGTTTATCCTAACAGTTCTGTGGAGTGTTTTAATTCAAATTCTGCAAACTTCTTCACACACTTGTTATCCAACATTGCACACACCTTCTGCAAGTCTTGCCATCAACTGAAGGCGACCAGTTGTTCCCAAATCAATTCCAGTCCGTTCCAACTCATCACTGTCCAAAAATGAGCTAGCACTGGAAGCATCAGTACGCTCAGTTACATGTCCTACTTTCATTGGCCTCCCAGCCAGCTCAAATCCATTGAGTTGTTCCAGGGCCTTTTTGGCACACTCAGAGTCTGAGAACTGTAGATTGGAAAAACACAAATTCAGTAATACTTGCCTACAGGATTCAGCAACGTTTCTGCAATATGTAGTATCCACAAATAGGAGAAACTCTTTAAGACAATAGAAGAAAATATAAGAAACTCTATAAGCTAATGTACATGTGCTCAGAATTTTTCATTTAAATCAAATACACACATGTTTTGGTATTTACTTTCTCATAATAAGGTACTATATATTAAAATATATTGCTGAAGCTATAGCATCTAGATACTGCAATCAACAGAAGTCATGGCTGTGGTTCTCTTTCAAGAGTGATATTCAATTCCTTTGTAACCTTACAACTGCCATGGTATTTACAAGTTATTCCTAAACAGATGTTCTGCTTTTGATGCTGCGAAACATCAAAATGAACATACAAACATTTTATCAGTGTTAAAACCATTAAGTATGAACTATATAGTATGTTTGGTTTGTGTCCATGTGCCAGAGGTCCCAGCCGAGACTTTTTTCCCCATGACAAATTGCCAGGTCAGTTAAGAAACTCAAGTTCACAAAACTGTGTACCTGAGGGTAAAGAGGAAAGAAGTTTTCAACTGAAAGTTTCAGCCCCTATAATTTTATTTCCCCTAAAAACCTCAAATTCAATTATTTTCAGTTATAAAAAACACCAGACTTTAGTAGTGTCTTTGTCTGCAGAAGACATAATTTGTTTTTGCAGGCACTGACTACAGAGAAAACTATTCCCATCTAAACATATTCACTACGCATTCTCAATACGCAGACAACCATCAGAAACAAACTAAAAAATCCAGTGCTGTATCCTGCAACATGACACTTCTGAAATGAGATATATAGTTATCAAGTAGAAATTTAGTACCTCCCATGAGTATGTAACAAATTTAGATTATGCTTAGTTCATTATGTTTATACTGCTACTATATAACAACACAGATATACACAGGAAGGTTCACATACAGCTATACTCTCCTACACAGGAAGGTTACACTCAGAAATCATCCTAGAAACCTAAGAATTCTAGTCATACCGTAATGAATCCATATCCTTTTGAGCGTCCAGTTTCACTGTCCATCATGAGCTGAATACTTTCAATCTAAAGATAAGAATAAAGCTATTTATTAGAACACATTTTGGAACACACCCCAAGATACCAGAACAAAACATGAAAACATCCCTGTCAAATACACATACGTGAATGTGAAACTTTTTAAAAATTAGTTTCTTATTTCTTCCTAAAATTTCAAAATTAGTATACAGACAGCTAAATAGGTATTTGGATAGTAAGAGAAGCAGGTAAACATGAGGGTTTTGAGCTCATCTATGGGTAGAGGCTTGATGCAGAATTCTGGCAGAATAAGCATACAGACATGATCAGATTGTAACTGAAACACATTTCATATGCTGAGAAACTGTTTTACAAAATAAGAAAAGCAGTATGCCTGACTGACAAGGGCCTTTAAGAAAAACCTGTGTATTTTAGTAACTCTTGGTACATGGGAACTTTAGAAGTTTACCATTACTGAATTTAAAACACATCACTGAGTTACCCATTAGCCATAAAGTAGCACTGGGAAGGACTGGAGTATATGGAAGAAGCAAAGATCTTCACAGGTCTCCATGTAAGCCTCCTAAACTACCTTAATCCTACTGCCAGAACTTGATGGAAGAAAAAAACCCCAAACCACCAGAAGAGCAGCCATGTACATTTAAATTTAATCAACTGTAGCAATTTTCCAGGGTTCTGTGCAAGAGATTTAAAGGGACAGGCATACTGACTCTGAATAAAGCATGTGAAAAGCATATATGTATATGAGGCAGAGTTCATACCCAAACACTGTAGGCAAAAACCTCAAACATTAACTGGCTTCTTTTTACCCATTAAGAAGCATACTGAATATCTAACTTTTCCCCTATGTAAATGATATATACAGCAGTAGGGCTAATGTATTATAACTCCACAGGAAACTTCTTTTATCTGCTCACTGCCATAATTCTCTCTACATAATCTTACTACTGTGCTGCATCCTGCTGCCCAATGATCAGGAGTGAGAATGGGCCCAACTCAGAGCTGTAAAGGGCATACAGCTAGTTTATGGTCTTAACATCAGCTAAAGCTGCAGCAAAAACTCATCTGAAACAGATGACAGTACTATTCTGAGACCTCAGGCCCAGTTCTGCTTTTTGTGCTTTAACCCTTGAAATGGGGCTCCCATTCACAATCCTGAAAGGGAAAGATACAAGCTGCCAGAGAAGGATACAACACAGAGAATTTGTCTGGTTTCAAGGTTTTTTTCCCCTGCTCCTTAATTTCAGGTATTCATTGAATTCTGAACTTTCTAGGACCAGCTGTTCAAATTCACTGGACACCACCACAAATCTAAGTTCTCTTCTCCAACACTACCCACATACCTAAGACCTGTGAATGCATGGGCACAGCAGTGCAAGAAAAAGAAAACCACAAGTGTTTTGTGAGTATGAAGTTGAATTATTTCCAGAAGCTGTCATAGCTCTACAACAAACCTAGATTTTTCAAATCAACTACTCTAACACAACACGCCAAATTAAAGTTTACCCTGCCAAATGGCTCGAAGATTCCTCGAAGCATATCCTCAGTTATATTGAAGTGTAATGATCCCACATAGAGCCTCATAGGACCAGCACTGCCCTTCTGCAGATTATTTGCCATTGCTGCTGCTCTGTTTTTCTCTGCCTAAGGAGAAAAAAAATTCACCTTTGATAAGAAATTAATAAAAAAAAAAAACCCTAACATAAGAAGTAAATATCTCTCATACCTAAACTACAAGATTCACCAAACATACAGAAGCTGTTGCTTGATCTGCAGTCTAATCATCAGACTTGAACTTAAGAGCTACAAAACCCAAGCCCATGACCAAGTACAGAGACAATATACTCCAAAAGCTGAAGTTGTTCAAACTGAACAGCTTCATGCAGAATTCTGGCTTCTACCTAGTAGATTATCTGGAAAGCATACACAATATAGCCTTCACTTCTGTAACACTATTAACAATTTCTTTACTGTTACTTGCTTAAGATCTGTATTTTCCTAATGCCTTTACACAACTTTGAATCACTTTAATTTGCCTGTTATCTATGGGAAACAAAAGTCCATTATCACAAGCTTAAATAATTTTTATTGTTAAGGTTTTCCAAACATCCAGTGGTAGCCAAATTTTCAAACATTAATTTTCTCATCAAAATACAAGACACATAACTCTGCATGAACAAAAATGAGGTTTACAATTCCGTACCTGTGATGCCTGTACTATGATAGGTACACCCAGGACTCTCTGTCCAGTCAGTCCTATTGCCAGGGGTACTGAACTAACATCAACAAATTCAACATAAGCAATCCCCTTTGAACGTCTGGAATTTCTATCCGAAATCATTCGCACATCTCGAACCTGAAAGACAACAACAGTATGGAAATATTTTAGAGAAAGAGGAAAAAACCCAATGCAGCCTATTTCTCTGACACATACTGAGAATTATTTACCAAGCCAACAGCTTTAATTCTACAGCAGCATACACCTTTTGTAACAAACATATCCCAGAGGCAAGTTGGCATTAAAGCCGCTGTTTTGTTTTTCGTTTTGTATGTGACAGAACTTGCAGCACTCTAATGCTTTATACCAGAACCTTACAGCTGATAGACTAAATTAAGTTTTTCCAACTTAGAAGTTACATGAGTTTTCAAATGACACTATAACTGACCGACCAATCTGAAATAAGAAGAAAATATGAAAAATGAAGTTGTTTGAGTCAGAATTGCGTCAACATGTTTTGCCTTACATCACATGAACAAGCAACTACTAAGAAACTACATTTTCAAGCTCAAATCTTTTAATAATCAGTTCACCATTAATCCCTCTTTGCACAGGTACAGGAAGCTCCAGAAAGCCACATGCTTACAATTCCAAAAAACTATCAAACCTGTACGAAGTTGTACTAGGACAGCTTGAGGCAAAATTCAGGACAATTTTAACTTCCTTATCAATTACCTTCCCTACTGTAGAGAAAAATTCTTCCAGGTCTCTTGGTCGGATTCTTGCAGCCAACTGCATGCAGAACACTGTTCGAGCATCCCTCTCTTCAGGGGTAAGATTATCAATAGGTTCTCTGTAAAGAATAAAGTTCAGCTAAAAAAATCAAGTGAATTAAAATAACTCATCTCTGGACCACACATGATACACTAAAGAATCAGTACTTCACAGTCTGATAGGAAAAACAATGCCTGCTGTATTAAAAAAAAAAAAGGCAGAGTAAAAAACTGAAGGGAGTACCAAACATTAACATGTTAAGTTATAACATGATTGAATTTCCTATTTCAACTGTGAGCATCAAATATGACTGGAAAATTCTATTTTATGTGCAAAAGCATAAACTGCGGTGCCATTTTGCTACTGTCTAGAACAGGTACCAGGTACCACTATGGAGCTTAATGTCCTTTTCACGAAAAAGATGGAAGGACAAGAACACAAAAGCAAACCGGGCAACCTAGCACAGACCAGCTCTCCAAATTCTCAGACAAGTACTGTGGGCTAGGCTTTCCCAACTCACATCTTCCATTTACCCATCCACTTTGGAGTCACTACAGCCACTGCATAAAACAAGACTGACATCAATGTAAATAGAACTCTTGATCCTCATTTCATAGTTTCAGCTTGTTAATAATTAATTACTTTGATCCTTGACACATTAAGAACTAGAATAATTTTATTTCAATACTGAACTATTAGCTGAAATTCGATGCACCATTGTTAACATATTAAAGCTTCAAATCTAAAAAAATCTGACTTGTACTCAAGTGCAAGTTATATAGGAAGTAGCATGGTGGATCCTGGATTGAGCTTCTATCCATGCTGTATGCATCTTTATTAAATTAATCACACAGATATTAATCACTTAGAAAACACAATAAAAATTTAAACCTAATTATCTCAGTAAGAGTTTGCCAGCCATTGAAAAATAAAATGAGATTGGTTAAATTTGACTGCATTAATGTAAGAGAATAATCTCATTAGCAGCTATCTAAATCCTATTCCCTTAAATGAGAAGACTAAGAAGGATAAGCAGCTACTGGATTGCAAAGGCATATAGCCTCTCAACAAATAACACTAATAAATACTGGATAGCAAAAAGAAACATTTGTATTTTCCCATTCCATACTCTAGATTATTAAGCACAATTTAGCAGAAAAGCTAATTTAAATCACAATTAATGGGGAAAAGATTGAGAATACTGAAACACAAAAAAAACCAAACAAATTAAGACTTGTTTTGCAAACCAACATTATTTACAACCCTTTATGACATGGGGAAAAAGCAACATACTACCAATGCTCTTCTCTCACTGGCTTTCTGAATGAATTCCAGCATCACTTATGAGTGATGAGCTGGAGAGCAAGTAGTCATACATTATTTCACCATCGCTTTTCCAACTCCAACTGGACAAAAACAAACCAACCCAAACACATGTAAAAAGTCATACCTAACAGGGCTTTTGTCTTTTCTGAAAGGACTTTTGCTTCTGGAGCGACGTCTGCAAAAAAGAAAGATCAACAAGGTTACAAGAAAACCTTCCAATATACCACTCCTAAACAAAACCTATTAATGATGTAATGAAAAACAGAGAAAAGTCAAAAACCTTAATTTGATGCTGTGGGGCAGACCAATCTTCCCTCTGATGGCACTGTTGAATTTTGGACCAGAACTATGGCAAGAGAAAAGATGAGACACCTGAGCACTTTAATTCAAAATTTCCTGTCTGTACTTACATTACACTCCAAGCACTCACCCACCCTTGCCTCTGAACTTGTCAGCATTTCCATTAGCAACACCCACAGCATGCATAATATTATCGGCTAATTATCAATACATGCAGCACTTCAGACCATAAGGCACAGAATATGATCCCCTCCCACTTTCACCTGCATCACAAAATCCCAGAATATGCAGGACTCTTCATGAGACAGTCAGTCATGGCACATTTGTATATGCAAACTATTCTAAGCTACAGATACAGCTACTGTTATAACCATTTTCACCTGTTTTTTTGTCCACACATTCTACATACTGATGACTGCAAAGCATGACATTCAAGGCCTGGAACTCAAGAGTTCTACATACTTCAGAGCTGCATGTCAAGTGGTGCGGCAGGATTACTTGCTTGAGTGTAACATTTTCAAATCACAAGTTCCATGAAACTTAAGATGCAAGAGCAAACCAAAGTGGCTCCCTGCAGACACCTGCAATGGACAACTTCACTAATGATGTCTTGGCTCTAACCACTTAAGTGCTGCAAATAAGTAAATGAAGCTTCCTTAGAATTCCTAATGGCCATCAAACCACAGAAGCAGTGAACCCAGCAGTCAGCTGTATACAGACACAACCACAAAAGGAATCCAATCTCTTCACTGAATCTAATTTAATTCTCAAGGCATCACAGAGTCTCTTAGAACAAACTGTAATCTGCCCCTTGCTTTTATGTTAAGGACAGTCCTTTTGCTAGTTAATGGAGCTCCCAGGAACAAAGTGTGACATGAACACTTAAGATTCATCTTATCGTGCTCTCCCTGAATTTGATCTCCTGGTAGAGCTGCTCAAAAGGCAAAGAACAACACCTGTTACCATTCTTCCTGTATCTTCAGCAAGCGCACAGGCACTGCTGCACAGACTGAATGCTGTGCACTGGGCTTTGGCTTTCCATGTGTACATAATTGATTCTTTCTGCTGCTGCTACAAATTGATGTAAACACCCCAAAAGACATGGTGGGCTGAAAACATTAAGTAGCCTTTCACTAAATCCATTTGGACACGCAATTTGTCTGAAAAACGTCTTCTTGCTCCTCACAGAGCAGAAATGTTTATAGTTAAATCTCAGCATCCACCACAAGGAGAAGGATGCCCATTTTTTAAGCATGTCATGACACAGGTGGAAGTAGTGGGCCAAGATCCAAAACCGTGCTGGCCAGGTTAAAGCAAGGGAAATATGCCCCTGTACAACACTGGAAAAAAAATAAAGAAAAAAGACCATTTAGAAACTACTTATGAAGAGAAGATAACTACTTACTGAGAGAAAATAAGACATAAAACACAGGCACATGTTGAGATGAGATCACAATTGATCAAAACTAGTCTTTTTTTTGCCTAGGATAAATTACGTCATTTCCTGCTCAAGTCCAGCCAAATTATTGCTGGGAGTGTCCATTCAGGTTCTTCAGTATCTATGGAACAACTGCCAAAAGATGCATCTGGAAATACTGGTACTAATTTCAGAGGCTGTCTTCTTATCAGACATGGGACTACCTTGCACCCATCAGATGTAAAACATGGTGCTCTCCATTTTAATTCAAATGCAGCCAGACAAACCAATTAAAGTGACTCCAGAACACTAACATGCAGACCAACTAAACAATAATAAATAGTTAAGACCATGAGTTTTCAAAGAAATAGTGAAAGAAATATTTGAAGTATTCATCTAAATCTAATGAATAACAAAACTAACACACAAACGACTGAGAAGTAACAGTTTTCAAATACATGCACAAAGTGGGAGTGCAGATGGAGGGAAGAGGAAAAAAGGGCAGAGAAAACCCACAACCCACCACAACTCCAAAAATCTTCATTTCCCTTATTGACTAGCACTATCTTATTCACAGAACTCCAGGAAACCAACATTAAGAAATCCCAGACCACTGGAACAGGCCAAGCAGAAAGCTGCCTAGGGTAAGGTGAGAGCACAAATTACCTTCTCAAAATCAACAGTATACCCTTTTCAACAATATTCTCCCTGTGTTTTTCTAAGAAGACTTGCTTGTAAAGCTGTAGATCTCAAGTAAAGTTTCTTCATTGCTTCTACTGTCTCTACAACTGTTGCCCAGTTCCTGCTAACCTGTACGGAAACACCAAGTCACAAACCATTATTTCTCCATGTCTAGGAGTTACCTTGTAAGCCAAAGTTCTGTGTGCAGCCAAAGCAAGCACATATCAAACCTACGAGATGCCACATGCCCCAACAATGGCCAAGTCGGAAGAAAGCCAGCAAATTATCGGCCTTTACCTGCTCATTCATATTCAAGATGCCAACAAAAAAGTGTCGGACAAAGCAAACTTTGGCTAACAAAGTCCAGGAGAATAACAAGAAACTTTCAGTCATCATTGTAACAAACCTGTTTTCCCAACAGCTTTGTCTAAATTTGTGGTTTCAGAATAGAAACAGGATGGTCTAAGTGACTTCTACTTTATGTTAGCAGCAGCTGGCACTTGCCCAGCACATGTCTAAGCAAGGCTACTCAATCAAGTTCTTTCTCCTAACAGACCTAATGATACAGCTATGTAACGCTTAAGGGACAACATATGTGAAAAGAACATGAGAAAAAAACCCCTGTGAGCACTAAGCAATGCAAGACATTCACCTAATTTTAACCTAATTTTTAAAAATTAAAGCAGTTAACCATGATTAACCACATTTCTAGCCTAAAGTGAGAAACTTGAAGTTTTCAGGTTGTATGTAGCACTTTCCTTTTCCTTCAGAATTGCCTAAACTTTTTTCTCACTACTGCTGAGATGCCTCCTAATTGCTCCCAGCAGCAAAACCATCTCAGTTTACAGATAATCAGCTTAAAAATGAGCCTTTACAAAGCCCGTAAGAAAGATCACAAGGAGGAGGAAGAGTAAAAAATAAAATAAAATAGAAGCCATTAAGCAATTTTATCTAGCTACTGCAGTCAGTTACAACCCTGTCAGCAGTAACTCCAACCCAAAACTACCCAAACAGCCTCACAAGGAGAGATTCCAGAAATAAATGCTCCAGCCAGAAAAAGTACTCTGGCAGTCACTTTTGAAACACTGAACTTATGCCACTGATACAGAGACAACTTCTTCAAATAAAAGCTCAATATTGGTAGATCCAAAGGTGCCTGGTAATGCAGGAGGCTTTATCACCAAAGTTTTCATCTCCCTGAAATTCAGCATCTCTTATACACATTTAAAGGTGGGTTCCTGCATTTTAAGAGCCTTGAACAGGAACTCTTCACAATCCCTTCTCTTTCACACATTTAGAGGCAAAACTCGAAGTCTGGAATCACATCAGCATGTTTATCATTTTAACAGGACCATTCATAATCTACAACTGAATAACAGCAACTGCTTGCTGACTGCCATCAGTCAACACCAAAGCTTCTGGGACACATGTCCTTGCCCTACAAAAAATTTCCACAAAACCATCTCAAGACACTAGAATTCTACCTGGTTAAATGAAAGCAATGATTTGCCAACTGAAGCAGTGAACAAACTATCAAATGAATAAGGACAACTATGTATCCTCAGAGCATACTACATTATCACTGCTTCTTGTTCACTGCGTCTCAACACCAGAGCAATCATCCAGAACAGCTATGGGAGAGTGTCAGGATAGCAAAAAAGACCCCTCACAACTACTTATCTCTCTGGATAATATATCTCAGTGCATTAAAACAGGCATGGGTTATTGTAGTAACATCAATACTTTCAACCTCTACTTGAAGAAATTATTTTGGAAGACTAGGACACTGGAACTCCAAAATTTCTCCAGGTGAAAAACCTTCTCACCCAATGACAACAAGAAAAACAAAGAATAAAACCCTCCGACATAGCTGGAAGAATGCAAGATTAAACAAAGGACATCCAAGATTAAACAAAGGACATCCTCTCCACACAACACTGCACTGGAGGGAAGGATAACAGCAAGCTCCATATACAGAAGGCTGAAGTTTTTGATCAAGGTCCTCTGTACTCTGAGCCGCAACAGTGGCACTGGCATAACCCAACCAGCTACTGTAATCTTACACATGCGATAGAATTGTAGGAAAACAACTCTGCACTGCTGAAATCTTGACAGCGGAAGTCTAGAGCAGCGTACAGAAGTTCTGATACTCAAGACAAAAGAAAAGCAGGGCTGATATATTATCATCCCCACATACACAAGGACTGATGATGCACAAGATGCCACTGCACCTTGGAGGAGCCAGGAACTGCAGCAGGTTTTCATTACGAAAATGCCAACATCCAGGTGACTTAGCAGAGAGAGATCCTGAGACTTCAGGAAGTTTGTAGTCCAAGAGTACAAAAAGCCTCAAGAAAAACATTCATGTTCAAAAAATTGCACAAGCCTACAATTTAGCAGAAGGTAAACACTCTGCTCAAACATCTTGAGAGATTTCTCTATCATGGATGGCATTGTATGTCATGATTTAAAAAATACATCCTTTTCAAATTCCTTCTTTCAAAATTATCTTGCATTTCAAGATTTGACAACAGAGATGAGACCTGGACAACAGCAGAGACAAACAACAGCCTCAGGTAATCAATGACAGTCAAGCATACAGCCCAGTTCTCACTGAGTTTCTGCAGAAAGACGCGATGGGAAGCAAAGGGGAGAGCCATGGTACAAACCATCAGAAATTATACTGATGAAAAAATAGCTTTTGAGAATTGATTTACAAACACCTGGAACTACCTATTACTGGAGTTTTAGCAAGCTAAATAGCTGAGTGCAACTAAAGAATTCTTGTCAGCCTCTAAACGAGTCTGAGAAAAAAGCAGGGCAAATTTGCAACACATGGGCATGACTAAGACAAGATGCTCCAGTCTGGATGCATATACATGGAATATATTTGTGTGACTATCCATTTATGGAGTTAATGTTCAAGAACAGCAAGACAGTAAAAATATTTAGTAATACCTAAAAAAAACCAAGAGTATGAGCCTGTAACCAAATTAACAGACTACTATTAATTTTTTGACAGTTAAACCATCAAGTTCATATACTTTAAATACTCAGGACGTGGAGAGAATTTGGTTGCTCTATTGATTTTGTGATGAACTTAAGTTTTCCACTCAGTACACATTCTTTCATTTGCTTTCCCATCTCTGTGTTTGGCCAAAAATGAAAACTAGAAAAGGAATATTACTATCTTCTTTTACACTCTGTGTTTACTAACATTCTTCAAACTTAACATCTCACTTTCTTTTCTATGATAATTATTGACCAATTTAGAAAGCAGAGAGTGAAACTTTAGCCTTTCACATTGTAACAGTGAAGAGCACACATGCAATTCTGAACAAATAACCTACTAAGGACTTCTATAGCGGCCTCTGAATCTGCGATCTCTACTCCTAGACCGGCTGCGTCTGCGTTCTTTGCTTCTGCTCCGTTTCCTTTCCCGGCTTCTGCTCTTTTTCCGTTCCCGATCTCTGCTCCGCTTGCGTTCCTTACTTCTGCTCCTCTTTCTGTCATGGCTTCGACTTCGGCTCTTGCTCTTTTTTCTCCTGACAAAGAAAAGTGCAACTTCAGTTACACACATAGTTCAGTGTTATTTACCCACATTCCACAGTTCCTCTGATGTCACAAACACTGATGGGAAAAGTTTATTGTTGTTACTGTTGGTATTTTTGCTTTTTATTGTTAAATGAGTGGTTAAGCATGTCAGCAATCTCCTTTCATGAGCCACAAAGTCCGCAACAGCACATTTTTATTTCAAAATTTTTAATTGCTAGAGAATGCTTTCAGAAGAGTAAAAGGACTAAAAACCCACTTCCTAGGTTAGACCTAGTACACAGCAGTTGCAATACTTCATCTGGTGTTCAAACATACTTCATGATTTTAAGAATAAATTATATAGCAAAGTAAAACAAAACACAATAATAAAAGAAAGAAAGAGGCAAGTCTGGAGGAAAGGAAGGCTCTTTCCGCTTAATAGTCCCTGCCAATACTCTTTAACATGCTGCTTAAGAGTTTAGCTTCCTACTTGCTACTCCCACTCATAAGCCACTTGCTTTTTTAAGTCTGACTGTTAGAGGTTTGGGGCAAACTGCAGATTTTTGTAACTTTACCAATTTACTTAGAAAATTGAATCTTCTAAAATCTGTATGTCAATTATACCTCATATTTGAAAAATAAGTACAGTGAGCAACTGTTCCATTACTGCATTTTTGGATTGTTCAGATTTTTTCCTCCATCTCAGCCTCAGACCACCAAAGCTTAGTCTCCTAGTTTCTAAAATATATCTGTATGTACATATATAAAAGATACATGTTAAACCAGGTGCTCAAGCCATTACTTAAGACAGCAAAACAATGAACTTTGCTGCTAAACTTTCGAAGTTTGAAACATCCTTTGTCAGTGAATTTTTCCTCTTCCTCCTTTTGGGCCTTCTGATTGCAGATATAATCTTTTCTCAACATGGTCACTCATACTCTTAAAAGTTCTTTTAAAAGGCCATGTGGATTACAAAAGATTCCTCTCTGTGGCTTTCTGTGGCCATGTATAAACTAAGACTTCTAGTCAGTTTCAATTTCTGAAGTAAAAATATCTCTCACCTGCCACATCTAACTGAACCAATTATTAATAGCTTTTATTCTCCAATCTCCAACTAGGAAGGCCCATTCAAACTATCTTGGTATTTATCTCTGAAGACAAACATTTTGCAATTACGTTTTAAACACCATTTCTTTTTTTTTTTTTTTCCTTATCTGCCATAGTCCATTAGTTTCTTTAATATTTTTGTATGGACAGAGAAGCATCTGCATCAAAACCTGATATTCAGAAGCTTCACAATTTATGATAGTTCCCTATTTTTGTGTGGTGTCATCAGAATCACTTAACCACACTTCCTGCTGTAATGCAGTTTGTGTGGTTAGGCACACACTGTCCCTCTCCTCTAGGATCCATAATTTACCAACATTTCCCCAAGATAAAACCCTAAATCACTCACTATTAAAATAGCTCTGAAAAATACTCCCTGACGCTCCTATACTGACCAGTACCAGTAACTAGTAACTGTAGCCACTCTTCACCAATGACAGCAGCTGCTCCCTATCCAACAGAGGAAACCTACTTCGCAGACAAGGACTCCCAGCAGTCCAGATCCATGCTCTGCCTTCAAATCACAATTAAGCTGGACCTACAGTATAGACATCCAGTAAAAATGCAGATCCTTAATTCTTCCAATTAATAAAATGGACACTTAAGTATGATTTGACAATTACTGAAAGCTGCATATTGTAATTTATTTTCAAGTTGCTGATGTTTGCTGCAGATTTTCCTAACAGTTTGAATCTTACTTCAGTATTAGCCCAACTGAAGTAGGTAAAAAATACCACTTGGACACAATTCAATTATTTAAAGAAAAGCAAGACATCTTGCAAACCTACATACACCTTTGTCTTCATTGACAGAATACACTGTCACATCACAAACAAAATAGTTATCTAAAGATTATAGGGAACAAGAATTAATCCAAAATTAACTTCTAGGGCTTAAGAATATTGACAGCAGCTGTTTTTGATGGAGTTTTAGAGGTCTCAGTAGTTAGCATGAAAATTATTTTCATTGTATTATTTAGAACACAAATAAAAGGTACAATCAATCTTAGATAATTTGATTCCAACCTAAGTCTGACCTTGAAATGGGATTTATAATTCCCCAAATATTTATAGACTTGAGAAAAAACTTTCTTCGGAGTACTTCAGCATGTCATCTGTATGATTTCAGAAGGTGACAACAGCATACATGCTGATTTTAGTGCATTTCTGTAATACACAGCTAACTTTTTACTGTTTTGTCAACTTCGTAATTTTTCTTCTTACATCAACCACCTCTTCACCAAATTATGCTTGTAAGGTAAGGAATTTATTTTACAGACTACACATCTTTTGGGTATCAGCAGGTGTTCACATACCCTGGAATTATGCTTGCTGAGAAAGGTGGGCTTATACTTTTGTTTTTTAAAAACTTGTATTATAAATTTAGATGTCTTCAAAGGGCAGGGACACAGAAAATAGAGCAAGGCGATTCAACACCCTAAACACTTTTAAGAAAGCACTGGTGTCTTTAACTGCTTTCCACTGCTCCAAACCACAATTCTACAAGAAATAATTTTTAAAATGCAAAATTCATTGCATAGTTAAAGTAACTAAAATAATTTAAATATGCTGAATATACTAAGTCTGTATTTTTACCTGATGCTAGGTGAATGTTTCCGCAATTTTGATTACATCACTTGCAAAGGGTATTAACTACATTTGTAAACAAAATTTCCAAATTGTTGCAACTGCAAATTTGAAACTTTTTCCAATTTCCTTAAACACCACTGACATGGATTCACAAATCCACAAAAATCAGGAGCCTCTACCCAAATAGACACAACTGAGAAAATACTTACTTCTTGCTGCGTTCTTCATGGCCATTGGCACTGCTCAATTTGTTCTCATCCTAAGCAGAGTTGATAGAAGAACATCGTGAGGACGAAGCGGAAATATTTCAAGTGGTCAAAGGGTAATGGGAATAGGAATAAGAAAATAAAAAACAAAAATTTTAATACTAAATTACTTGTTTAATGTGGAAAGCTTTAGAAAATTTAGGTAGGCATGTTTAACCGCTTTGCTGCTTAAATTTAAGTCATACAATTACAAAATACAAGACTTACATCATTTAAGAGTGTGTATTAAATTGTAGATACTTCCTTACATGGTTTAGAGAGCAAGTTATCCTGTAGAATTCAGCATTCATGTGACTAAATGTTATTTCTATAAAGTTTAGGAGGAAGTCTGAGGTGTTTGCGAGCCCCTCTGATCAATACCAAGGCTATATCTCTGCCTAAGCCCCGTGGCTACACTAGCAGCCAGCCACTATTGATTTCCTGTGACCGATGCCATTCCCGAGATCTTCACTCATTTTCGTTGAAGGGTTGTAAGAGCTTGATGTCACCTCTGTCACACATCTTGCCCTGAAGCAAACAGGGATTCACACTGCTTTAGTAACGTCGACTCCCAAGAAAGCCATCAATAATCCACCAGTCCAGCCTAAACATTCCCTATTTCCATACCTGTTTACATGGAAAATATCCATGTTAAGCCAGGACACAAAAATTTTAACACAACAGTTCACAAATTTCTCCTCAAGATGTAAACATAACTGCTAAGTATTACATTAACTAAATATACCACTTGAAACTTACAAATGCTCATCCAAAATTCATGACATGGTTGTAATAAACACTGCAGAACAGACTAACAATAGCTGCTGTATAACTTATATACTGGCTTTACAGTTTCATCACATTGTTTACATCAAAAGTACAATTCCTAGGCAACTTAAAATTATATACATTTCTTTCAAAATCAGTGCTGAAGCATGCAGTCTGTTAACACCTCACCACCATCTGGTGGAAAACAAAAAAAGACAGTATTCATTTGCTGCTGGTTTAAGTGAAAGACATCACTAAGCTAATTGATAAAACTTTCAAAGAAAATTTGACATTTCCTAATTAAACAACTAGGACAGAAGAACACAAGAGCTTATTTTAGAATGATACTGCAGACTGTGATATTGTCTTTTACTTGCTAAGAACATTCTATTCAGGGATCCAAGAATTTCTGTAAATTCGTTCACTCAGCAATTGATTTTCATCTGCCCTGTTGAAAGATTAATGCCAGCAGCCTTCTGCATTAAAAGCAAGTCCCACTCTTCTCACACTGAGCAGATTTGTTCAAATATTTACTTGCTATGGGACTGGTGAAAAGGTTATTCTTGGAACCCCGCTGTTTTCCCAAACCACTGCATTCACCTTGTTGCTATACCAAACTAGACTTCACAATTTTAGAGGAAGTTTTAGGATTTTGGTTTTTGGGGTTTGTTTTGGTTTTGTTTGGTTGGTTTCTGGGTGGATTTCTTTTGTTTTGTTTTGATTGTGTTTGATGGTTTTTTTTTTTTTTTTAACCTAGGGGACCACGGTACAGCGATACGTCACTCAATTACTACCTTATGATTGACAGTTCACACTGGAATCAAAGGTGAATTCATGGGAGTAGAGGTGAGATATCGTTAGGCAAGTCTACAAAGAGAGATAGATGGGCATTTATTCATCACGCTGAAGTGAAACTACTGCACAATATAATTACATTAACAGAATATATAAACTTGAAAGTTACATGTAATGTATGTCCAATAAGATAAATCATGAGGGCTCCAGGGATGTTAGTTTACAGTTCAGCAGTAGTTTCATGAATAATGCTAAATTAAGGTAAACAGGACCTCACTGGCATATTTTTTTCTCACCTTCTTGTAAGGAGCTTCAAGCATTGCTTCAATATCAATATCATCAGCCATTTTTCAGAACACCTGAAAGAAGAAGCAAATTCCACCTGAGTTGGAATTTACCCTTGCACTTTAAATTCCAAAAGCTTTTGTTTAAGAGGTCATCACTGCATTAGCTCAAATTCACTAATTCACATTTACAAATTCAGTAGGTATCTGCAACAAAAACTGGAATGAAGTTTTGCCCAATGAGATGGTAATGAATGTGTGCAAAGTAATTATAGCTGCAAAACACAAAATGTGATTGAACACCATTAGCCAGAGGAAACCCAGAGGCATTCCATGAATTTCTTTCAAAACAAAGAGCGCAGCCTATTTATGACAGAGAAACACAGCTCTGGTGGCCATCTTGAGAAGTGCTACAGCTTCAGCAAAGCACAGTGAACAATCAGGCAAACCAGTTCACAGCTCCTAGCCTTTGCCACCACCATTTACCAATCTCAGCATGTGGACACCACGGTGCTTTAAGAACTGCAGCCTCCTCCCTAACAGGGGTCACAGGAAAACAGTTATGATTCCAGCACTAGGAGCTACTAAAACACACACAAAGTCCATCCAGTCTGGAACTTCACATCTCAAAACAAAAACATCCACCACACCAGAAAACACTTGACACCAAAGACATTTTGGGTTTAGCTGCTCCTCTTATTTTCCAATTTCAACCCCTTAATATAAGTTTATGTCCCCTATACTATGAATCACTTTGACACTTGCTTTCCTTTCCCTATGCAGATATGCTATTAAGCACCCCTCAAGACTCTTGGCATTAAACTTAAGATATTCAACTTCCTCAAATCTCTAAGTGGAAGTTTCTCTTCTTTTTCTTTCTTCAGCTCCAGAATGGCCAGTCCTCTAGATCCAAGCCTGACAGCCTAACACTGAAAATTTGTGTGTGCAAAATAAAATGGATTTTTAATTATACAGGTTAGATCTTGCACCTTGTCTACAGGCAGTAGAACTGTGCTGTCCAGAAACTTCGGCAGAATAACAAAAATGCTCTAACACATCAAGATCCTTTACACCAGTCACTTATAATGTCATAATTGAGAATGCTTTACCAACGCTGCAGCACATCTGACCCTGGCCCAGGGATACCTTCTAGAATAAAACACCATCCTCAAGCAGGATCACAACACCAGAAGTTCACACTCAATACTTAAGGGAGGCACACTAACCTAATTTTCAAATTGTTGAACTATGATGTTATTGCTTATAGATACGACTGTCCTTCTTTTAAGTGTAATGGCTCAATTTTACTTTATACTACAGTATTTATAGTCAGCTTTTCAAGCCATCTACATACGTGCACATGATTTAATTCACAGCTGTTCTACCAGTACATAGTATAAATAGTGTATCAGTATGATTAAGGGCATGAAAAATGCAAAACCAGAATTCTACAAAAAAATTCCCACCGGTGACAACTCCCACCCAAGATTACATTTCCAGATGTGTAATTTAGCCAACATATCGGGCTAAACTTGGGGAGGAATTCTTCATCCTGAAGAGGGGTGACCATAATAGGGACCATCAAATCCTGAATTGCATGCAAAAGTGCAGAGGGAATGACTATTACTGCATTCACCCAAATAATGAGTGAATGAACTATCATCCAGTGGATTCAAAACAATGGTCCTTATTAACAAAACATTTAGCCATTGAACTCGCTGTTGAAGAGCACTGTGCATCCTAACAAAGAAAAACCACACACAATGTTAAAAAACAAACAAACAAAAAACCCATAAAAGTTTAAAGAAAAAGGTTTTCATAAAACAAAGGCACACCTCGTGACCCTGAACCACAACTAACTAAGTGCACACAGAGAGAACTGTCAACGTGTGACTGCGCTGTTCATTCTTTTTTTGGCATTTACTGCTGGCCACCATCATTGAATCTGCTGAGCTGAACGCACCTTTGGCCTCACCCCAGCAATCTGCAATCTTTGTACTCTTTACAAAACAGTTCCACTGGGGCAATACCATGTTATCAGAGTACCTTCTCTCTAGGTATAACACAGTCCTGTTGACAGCCCTGAAATGCATACATGTAATGCATATGATGCATACAAAGTTGGAAGTATTTTTAAAAAAACCCACAAATTAAAGCGCTAATAATTTCAAATTACTAGAAAATCCTGACAGTTTTTGAAGTATCTTTCATTAAACATGAACGCTCCAAATAATTTTCCTAAAAGCCTTTCAGCTTTCTCACAAAAGCTATATATGACTAATTTGCTTGTAGACAGGAAAAATAACAAAACCACCCAAACAAGAAAACAAAAACACCACACAAAAAAAAAAAAAAAAAAAAAAAAAAAAAAAAAAAAAAAAAAAAAAAANAAAAAAAAAAAAAAAAAAAAAAAAAAAAAAAAAAAAAAAAAACAAAAAAATAAAAAAGGAATTAACTACATTTGAAACTTCGTGGATCTACAGAAAATGTAAAGGGACATGAAATTTACTGCAACTGAGCTAATCTCTATTTTGAAACAAATCACTCTCTTTCTGCTGTACTATATTAGATAAAAGGAATTTTAAAGGATCCCGTTCTCAAAATTATTTGTTTTAGAAATCCAACGAATGACAGACAATTCGACACGTTTTGCATGTGGTGTCCTGGAAGAGCACCAGTAAACTTTAGAGAGGATTCCGACGCCTCAGAAGGGGAGCTAACCTCTCAGCAGGACCCGTATGTCTGCGGGCAGGTCCCCAGCCTGCAATTCCCAATTCTCTCAATTCTCACATGCTCCTGACACAATCGAGCGGAGCGAATTCGCTTTCCCAGAAACAGTGATGCCCAGCGCTGGCTGCCCCGCCGCGGCCGCCCTCCCACCTCGCTTCTTCCAAAGGCCTTCACTCCCCGCCCGCCGCTCCCCCACCTCCACCCCGTCTCGCTGCGCCAACGGCCCCGCAGCTGCTCACGCCCGGTCCCTCCGCACAGCGCCATCGCGGGAAGACAGAAAGAGCTTGGAGTGGGGGGAGCCGGGGCGGGGCAGCCGGGCCTGCCCGCGACGTGGCCACGGGAGCAACCAAACCGCACGGAGCCCGGTGGCGGGGCGGGGATCACCGGGCGCTCTGGCCCCAGTGAGGCGCAAAGCGGCCCCGCGGGCAGGGCCGAGGCGGCCATGGCAGCGGGAGGGGCGCAGACGCCCAGGCCGGAGCCCCCGGGGGACCAGGCCGCCGCTCGCCCAGCGGCGGGGCCCAGGGCCAACCCGCAGTTACCTTGCGCCGCGGGCAGTGCGATCCTCGCTAGGGCCCCGAGATCCGGCAGCGGCGGCTCCGGCGTCACTGCCCTGGCTGTGCGGAACGGACCCGAGGGCTTGAGCACCTTCTCCAGAAGTCCGGATGGACGGCGGCGCTCAGGCAGCCCCGAGGAGCGGGCGGCGAGGGGCGGCGCGGCCGTGAGTCGGACCCGGTGCCGGTCTGGCCCCGTCTATGGTTCCGAGGCTGCTCCCGAAATGGCGTCCGGCCGCTCGCAGCTCCGCGCACGGCACGGGGGTGACCAGCGCACCGCGCAGGGGCTCTCGCGAGACGCACGTCCAAACAAGCCCCTGCACGCTCGGACTTGCTGTCTCTCGCGAGATATCGAGCCCGGAAGCAGTGGCTCAAATGCTCGCGAGATTTGGTTAGGCATGTGGCCTTGTCACGCGCCGCCGCTCTCTCGCGAGGGCTGGCACGCGCGCCCGCCGCCCGGCGGGAGGGGCCGTGGCGCGGGCGGCGGCTCTGAGGGTGGCTCTGAGAGGCCCCGGGCCCTGCGGGCTGCGCCGAGCGCCGCCGCCCAAGTGCTTTCGTGGCGCGGGTGCCTGCGGGCTTGTGGGATTCCGGTGCGTTCGGAGCACCCGTTCCTTCCCTAGCTGTGGGAGACCCCTGTCCCAGATCCTTCAGGACGTTCCTGCACCCCATGCCGAGGCCTTTCATAGGCTCTTGTTTCCGGCAATCTAAAATGGATTAGGTTATGGAGTGAAGAGGAGGATGAAGTTACTGTGTTCCTTCACCAGAGATTGTGCTGACGAGATGATTTAATGGGTCTGCAGTCTCGTCTTCGCCTATTTGGCTGAGGGCTTGGTGTAGTTCAGTCAGATTAACAATGCCCGAAGGTGTTCAGTCGTGCCTTCTGCCAGAAACTACACATTCCTTCATGGGCTAGCAGTGTCTTGCAGATTTTTTAGCCAGTTCAATTCCAAGCAAATCTGTCAATGACCTGCTCTTCTGGTGCAGCTTTTGGCCCAAGCCACTGCAGATTGCTGGAGCCTTGAAGCTTAACTCAGAAGGGAAGTTGTATTTTGTGAAAAAAAGCCCCTCTTGTCTCATTAATAGTGATTTGTTTCCCTCAGAGTTCACAGAATGGTTAATTTGTATTTAAATTTAATAATACATTTGGGGCAATTGTTCAAGGTAGGACAGAAAGCATTAAGTGAGTTTTCTCCTGCAGTCAGCATGAAATAAATTGTTGCTGGGGAATTTTAGGTTGGTGTTTTGTTGTTCTAGAAATCTGAAACAACGTAAAGAGAAATTCTAAACAAACTTTTCCTCCTGAAATTATAATTTTTCTGAAAATCCCAGTCTACTGTCTCATTTAATGTAATTTCTAACAAAGTTCCTGAAATGTTAATAGCAGAAAATGATCCTGGAGTTCTTGCCTGGAGTGTCCAAGTTTTTCTAAGATGAAGTGGTCAACTAGTAGAGTTTGGAACATTTAGGAAAAATTATCTGTTTAAAATGAAAAACCAAGCATGACTATAATAGTTTTTTTTCCAACCTAATAATTTCTGTACAGTTTGGTTGTAAACAAAATTACTAGTCTTCTCACAGAGAAAATGAGGTTTATTGTATATGTTCCCATACACTGCTCTGGCTGCTTCTCCCTTAACCCCTCGGCTTCCAGTTAGCCACCAGGTCTGGTCTAACCACCTCCATGTCCCTTGTTCCCTCACCTTGTGATTGCGACTGAAGTATGTGCATAAGCTCATGTTGGTGGATTTACCCACGGCTTCTCTTGTCATCATTTACCTGTGGAGCCAGGCTCTGGAAGGAGTGCACAGACATGGGGTTTTTTGTATATTCCACTAACACACCACTTGCCCTTAGCTGGCACCCAGGCAGTGTGGGAGAAAAGATGCACCCTCACGCTTACAGTACTCAGAGAAGGTGAAGGTTGCTAATGAGGGATCTGGAGTAGCAAATAGCTGCACGTCCAGCCCTGTTGTCAGACCCTGTGTATCACAGCAATGCCCCGGCTCATCGGCTGTCGACACTCATCTCCGCAGGGCTGTTGGTGTGGTCACTACACGTTTGGCTGGATTCACTTCTGGAGCTGAGCGGAAGCTCTCAGTACCACATTTCCTAAAAAACGTTTTCTTATTTGTGGGATGGCTTGATCTGGACAGACTGGCTCTGCAGTGCTGAGACATAATGGCGATTTATCGCTGGTGTTCCTTCCTCTAAACCTGGCTCTGTACTCGCGCCAGGAAGTTCGTTCGCCTAAGGTGCCAGGGTTGCGGGCGGGAGTTTTTTGTAATTACCCGCGCTGCGAGGGGTAGGAAGGATCGCGCAGAATTTACAACCAAAAGGCGACCGAAAAAAAAAAAAAAAAAAGAAAAGAGTCTACACTTTCCCACACCGGGAGTCGAACCCGGGCCGCCTGGGTGAAAACCAGGAATCCTAACCGCTAGACCATGTGGGATCGCACACCACTAGTTTTGGCCTTTGCCCACTAATTCCTGCATTGCAGCGTTTCAGCGTGGTTCCCTGCTCGCTGCGTTTTCCGTCGCTGCATGTCCGTGCTGCGCGATGCCCACCGCTCGTTGCCCCCTGCCCGCTGACCACCGTTCACTGCTCGTTGACCTCTGCCCGCACCGTTGGTCAGGATCAGGCACTGGGGTGGGGGGTGCAGGGCCACTCCCTCGGTTAAAAGATGAGGTTGGAGGTTGACAAAACTTAAGTAGGAAACTGCTAATGGGAAGATGAACAAATGAAGTATGGCCTAAAAAGGCACAGAAACTTTGTATCAGCTACCGGTGTGCTCTGAAACAAATCTGAGCAACGACAAAAGCAGGCAGAACAACTGCACTACCCAGTTTTGACTACAAGAAGTAGTCAAAACAACCTTATCATACACTGGTAGAATGCAGGTAACAGGTGGCACACTGAAGTGGCTGGCTGCAGATGTGCAGGAAGAACTGACTATTGAGCATGTGGAGGAGTGATGCTGGATTGTTGAAGAAACTTCAGAATCAATGTACTTAAACCATTTTAATCTTCCAATATGTAACACTGAACTGTGAAAAATGGAATATGTGGAAAATTCACACCTAAATAGGCAAAGGAGAGAGTTAGGACTATTGTGAAGAGTGTAAAACCAGTGGTGGTGACAGTAATGTATTTAGGAGGTCAGAGTTGCTACCAAGGCAGAAAACATCATTATGAAAAGTCTCCAATTACACCCACACCAAGTGAGTAAATGTCACATCAGCATATTATGTGCTTGCTACATTTAGATATCACAAAGGCTTGATTTCTGGAGCAGCTGGTTGGAGAACATAAAAGAAGCAATTGGGTTTAATGCTGAGTTGTGTGAAGGGCTGTTACAACAGTCATGCATAACAGTGAGTATAATGTATTAAATCTTGTGACATTGAAAGAACAACATCAACAAATAAATTCCTACCTCAAGAGGTTATTAAAAAATGAATAAATCAAAATGATACCATGGTTGCAAGAAGCATGAGGATTCTAAAATTACTCATAACACTTGTATCACCACAAAGAAAAAAGCTATGGCTACAAAGAACCATAAAAAAGGTTATGGAAATATTAAATTAAAGATAAAACACCCTTCAAAATGTGAAGATGGCATAGGTGGCATATGGACCATGTCCATATGCCAGAAGAGAAAATCCTGAATAGGTTATAAACTATCAAATTAATCTGACAGTAACTACAGAAGGTAGATTTGAGCAGATTCTGTTTCCTTGCATGGATCCAAATTACAACCCACTGACCTGCATGAGGTTGCTAAAGACATGGACAAGGACTGGCTGACAGCCAGACAGCCCAGCTTTTTTGGCACACCATGATCTTAGTCTGTTGTGAGAACCCCGGGCTTGGTCTGGGGTCTCGTGTGGTGGTGAAGTCTCTCCTCCAACCCGAGCTTCCAAAGAAAGACTCCACAGCCTCTTGTTGTTCCGTCTCAAGGCAGTTTATTGCGAGTTATCTAAAAGATTGTCTTCTCAGGCTGCAGCTATTTGATCAGCAGCCCAGACAGACACACACACACTCCTGACACCCTGACTGTCCGGTGTCTTCTTCTTCTCTCCCCCCGCCCAGGGCTGCTGCTATCTTTTATATGATATGTTACGTATAACATGTTTACAGTTTTCCCCCAATACCTACTACCTATATTACGAAGTGCTTTTGTACTCTAAACCAATCTGTGAATGCCAGCATCACCAAGAACATGGAGGCAAGGAAGAAGAAGGAGGAAGAACAGGATCAGCCCACTTTTCCTCCATCTTAGAACTTCTGACCCCCCTGTACAAAGTAAAAACCCTCCTGTACAGGTGCTAAAAGCCCCCTGTACAATACAAAAAAAATTTTCCTTCTGTTTTGTAACTACTTTTACTATACTATCTAACCCTTTGTGACCGCTTGTTCCACCTTCAAAGTTGGTAACTCATTCCATGGCTCAAACTCAAAATCACAGCTGTTTCCAGCTGCGGGCCGGGATCCAAAATGCTTCTGACCAAGGCCTGGAACGTCTAAAAATGTCTGAGAGACATTTTGAGTTCCAACAGTCTGTCTCTGACATGAGGGGGAAATTTGCTCCCCAAGGACTTGACAGTGGTGGTGGAGAGATTTGAGCTTCTTCTATGTATCAACCTGCCTGTTCTGAGCTTCTCTTCTAGTTTCAGAACTAGATGAATCTCTGTCTCCTTCCAGAAGGCTTAGTGAGATGTCAATATGAGCAGCAGTGCCTGCATATACGCCCCTCCACTTTTGCTTGCTTAGGAATTGCATGTGAGAGGAGAGCAAAGGTTTTCCTTTGTTAACCATCCCTGAAGATCAGGACTTGGGGAGGCAGAACTTTGGCTTTATTTCAACTGCCCATTCTCATCCTATTAATCTCACCTGTCTGTGAAGGTGTTCTCAGGTTCCCAAAAGCACTAACAAGCCCTTAGGCCAGCCTCACTTAGGGCTTGCACTCCAGCCCTGCCCAGGAGCCCCAGTTCACATCAGCCCTGGACCCTCAGTCCCCATCTGAGCTGTGTTGAGGTGTGCTTGTCTCCAGTGCTCTCACCAATGTGCCCATGCCCATGGCCATGCCCAGCCCAGAGTCTCTCTGATCCTGAGCTGGAGCCTGCCTGCCTGACCTAACCTCAGCTCTGCCTTGTTAGTACAGACCTGTTATGGGCTGGGCCTGTCCTTGGTCACCATCACTGGCCTCATGCTGATCCCAGCCTGCAGACTGACTTTCCAGGTTGACCTCAGACTTGCCTCATCCCTATGACATGCTCAAC